AAGAACTGTTCATTAGGTTACAACTTGTCAAACAAATTTTTGTGGATATTAGACATTACATAATATGGTTAAGAATTAAGTTTTCCAAGGAAGAAATGGCGAGTATGGTGCCCGTTTTTGTTAAAGCGCAAAGTAATAGTTTTCTAGCATCTCGCATTTATAAGCAATTGTACCCTACTTTGCGACACCCAAAGCCGGAAGCCAAATCATTATCCGCACTACGGGAAAGTTTGGAATCAAGTTGATCAGTGCACTATAGTAAAAAAGTTCTAAGTAATCCAAAAGTCACCAATAAAGCCAACGTGGGCGTAGCCAGCACTACCGCCTGAGACGACGGGGGTATCGCATGTAACATCTGTTTCTCTCAAATTACGACGGTTCAAAAAAATATCCTTTATCCATAATTGATAGTTAACTTTCCTTGATACAGTTTGCGTAACACGCTTCACTATAGGGATTTAGCCCAGGATCGTAGCCAGTACTACATCTGAAGAGGTAACGCGTGTTAAACCTATCCTTCTCCTCGTCACACATACAATATTTTTCAAAAAGTTTTTCTCCCTCTCTACTTATTTTTTGAAAGGGTAAAGTTATCAGGCTGAATTTTGGGATAAAATTTATGTAAGTTATGTAAGTTTTACATATTAGTCAAAATTGGGGCACCCTGTATAATTGTAAATATTTTAGAAATATACCTCCAAATACCATGTATAATGTTCCAAAATGTATTTTTAATGAGTAATATTTCATCCCCACATAGGCGATTCAAAGTACTTAAATATTCAGTCAACTGTATCTAATACCCTCTTAGTTCCCTAACATCCATAATAAACCTTTATTGTTGCCACCGATCTATTACCTGTTGGATTAATTCAATTGACTTCATACATATTGCTTTGAAGTAAAGCCAATAATAATTATAATCAAAATCAATATCGTTAACGAATGGGACTCGCATTTCGAAGCTTTTAAAAGCCCGCATCAATAGGTAGCTGATACAGCTTAGAACAGCTACTCGATGTACAATATGCATATTTTGAAACTGATCTTGGTGATCACTTCAGCCCTCGTAGAGGCAATGAATTACAGTCACTTCGGAATATCTTCTAAAAAATCAATAGATAATAGCTTATGTGAATATTTCAAAGCTATAAAAAATTGCGGTGCCTCAACGTGTTTCTACATGGCCAGCTCTTCAAATCACAGTCACACTTGTTTGGAAGGTTGGAATGCATTGATTGTAAACGATTTTGAACAAATTTGCGATGATTCTACAACGTTTCAATTGGATGATTTTTTCCTTTTAATTGAGCAACTAGAGGATGCGGTACGCTACGCTCGAAATTTGTATCTCTGTTCCTTCTGGAACCCTGAAGCTAAGATACACTTGATTACAGAGGAAGCATATATGGAAGCAAACGAAGTACCAAGAACATTTAATCAGCTTTGGAAGTTACGTATCATGAATGTTGTGATTGTTAAAGTTGAAAGTAAGAATTATGAGGTAAGTACATTTTTAAATCAAATCTTGAAAAACCCCGCTGACACCTTCGCATGCATTGCCTGCAATTTACAGTTTTGTTACCAAACACAAAATTTTTCAAAATGTGTTCAGGGGTATCTTGTACTGCCTCGGTGGAAATATATTTCAAAATATATTCGGGATTATATATACGTAGGGTGTTCAACTACTGTGCTGGATATTAAGGTTGTTTTTCTTGTAGATATCCATATATTTGTATTATATCATATTTGTATTATTCCATATCACCATGTATCATATACATATTTGGATAGACCTAGGTACTTGTCGGGTGCTTCTGTTCTACTTGTTAGAATGTACAGTGTACAATATACTAACTAAAAATTAACATACATGGGGTAAAGATATGGATGGGATCAGCAAAATCCAGATGATATGAATTCTGTTCACTAACATTGCGGAAGTTATTTTGTAGGTATTATTCAAGAAAATGACGGATTGATATTCGTAAACGTGAACCGTTCAAATAAAAAAAATAAACACAAGGTAGATCTTTTTAGTAAGATAGATACAAGCTAAAACAGTACAATAGCTTCAAAGAACGTCATTAACCATAGAAAGTGGGCTTCATTCCTTTCAAAGATTCGGTATTGCCGAGAAATGTCAAAAGGGTGTTTTTGGTTATACTTGTTTTTATATCTATCCATAAAAAAAATCCCACTGTATGAGAATATCTCTAAGACGGCTTACTTTATTAGGAATACATATCTACTCTAGGACGTACCATTTGTTGGATATACCAACTCAAATGTAGTCTTCGCTGGAAATCGCAAAGTTTAAGTTTTGGTTTCTGGCTAATATCTTCTCATATATAAGCTTTTCGCAAAAAGAATACGTGATAAATTATTTTCGATACAATTTCCTATAGCCAAGTAAAGATTTTTAATTTATGTAGACGGGAAAGTATTGCCATTCGTTGAATATGAGAGGAAGGAATAAGCTTTAATTTGAAATCTTTCAATGGTTAATGGTGTTTTTAGGAATCAATCTAACGTATTAGTTTTTCATACTTGCTAAATTTATTTACCATCTGTTTAATTTCTGTATTAGACCGGTTGATGTTTACAACTGTCAACCTATCATTTTTTTTAATGTCAACATCAACATAATAACCTGTAGTTTTGTAATTCATATGGCCGCATGTCCTACTATACATATAAGTATGTGTTACACGAAATTCAGTAGTTTTAGAAAAGGTCCGATTTTGAAGTTTTTTTTGTAAGTAATAAATACTAATATAATAATATTATATTATATAATACTAATACAGGGTGACTTCGAAGTTGAGTCATTTATTTTAACAGTGAGTAGATCTGATCAAAAGAAATGTTTTTTCCTTTAACATTTTTGTGGTAAAATTAAAGTAACAAAGTTATAGCCCTTTAGAAGTTTGAGTAACGCCCTGTCTCAATAATAATATTATGTGCTCGTGTTTGGCAACAACGGATATAATCCGCCTTATCGTTTCATCGCATCGGAAACAAAAAAGCCAAAGAATTTGAAACGCTTATCACGATGTTTTTACTACAATTTTATTCAGTTGTATTCAGTCAATGTGTCAGTCGGTAACGCGTGAGTGAATAGTGGTGTTTGTTGCGTGGCTCAAACGAAATAAAAAATGGCACATGTTTACGAAAATGCTGAACTTGTAGACGTGATTCTTATTTACGGGGGGGGAGTCTTTACAAAATGCTGCCGCGGCATCACGGATTTATGCGGATCGGTTTCCCAATCGAGTGCAACCAACCCCTCGTGCCTTTGTTAATGTAGTGCAAAGGGCTCGTGAATCAGGTGACTTAAGACCTCACAATGGAGGGCATGCCGGTGCTCCAAGACCGCACAATCAAATACAGGTCCGCACTGAAATACTTGTCTGGAGGATACTTTATAAAACAAGGTAACATTTTTTTATTTTTTTTTATTTTTACACACATATTTTGGTTTATCTTCCTTCTACAATCATTATCTGAAAATTAATGACTCAACTTTAAAGAATAATAATAATAATAATAATAACAACGTATCCCAGATGTGCTACACACAAATCATGCATCTTGCGGAGTATTTCTTAAACCACAATAGCGCTTTTGTACAACCAACCAAAGAGGCAGATTTCAACGCAACTCCTCTGTGTATGACACAAGGTGCAATGCAACAAGAGAAAGGTTGCAATCTTGGAATAACAAACAATTGCCGGAATCCGTCTCAAACGGAGAATATTGGTACTACCCAGTGACTGAAGGGCTTATCTGTGCTATACAGGATAAGGTCATCCGCACAAGAAATTATGACAGGCACATATTGAAGAACGCTATCACTGATAAATGCCTTAAGTGCGATGCAGTGGGCGAAATAATCGAAAATGTCACAGGTGCATGCCCTAACCTGGCCAAAGTTGCATACTTAGGCAGACACAACAAAGTAGCCGCAATGATATCTCAGCTAATCGCTCACAAAGAAGGTCTAACGAAAACAAAGTTGCCCTGCTACAAATATCACCCTGTATCCGTTCTAGAAAATCAGAACGTGCTGATGTATTCGTATTGGGATCGCCCAATAACCACTGATAGGCGCATAGAGCATAATCGCCCTGATTTAGTGTTTATAGACAAACATAAACAAACGGGAATCATAATCGACATTAAGGTCCCACTTACGCATAACCTAAAGTCGGATGTGGACGTTAAAAGAAATAATGATTATTCCCATCGTCATATCAGTAGAAGGAGTGGCCACGAACGCTTTGTCGGGGAATTTGAAGGTCTTGAACTTTCCAAAGGGTGCATGCATATAATTGCAGAAGGCAGTGATTCTCGAAACTTGTTGCATTACAAGAAAGTTTCTATCGATATAGGAAATTGAGGGCGGGTCATGATGAATTTCATTCCCACCCAGAGCCACAGTCTATAAACATCATCCGAGGTGGCCCAGATACTACCAGCGCAAGCAGTGAAAACCCAGGATAATAATAATACTAATAATAATATTTATTTGTCTTCAAAATATTCACTATACGCAAAAAATACATTTATACATCCCGCGGAAAGCTGATCCTTGTGCGTCAAACTATCAGGTCTGCGGCTGTTTTTCTTTCTGGAAGTATTACAATAGTGTCACTTTGACCACTATATTGTGTAGAGGACAAACTTCATGGAAGGCTGAATGTAAAATTATCTCAATCCAATCTTCTCTGCCTTCTGAAGTATGATAGGTTTAATTTGATTTCCTGATTGGGTTGCGATTGGTTAAAGGTAAAACCCCTTATCGCTATGACCTATTCATAGAAATCACAGCTGAAGCAGGCCGATTGTTTCTGCGTTCTTAGTTCCCACGTCAGTTGGTTTCGAAATCGTGATAAGTTTTGAAAATGAGATGTCATGGTTTTTTGGATGTTACATGACATGCACATCACGGAGAACAACGTCACTGAAGTTTCGTTTATATTGTCACCGCTCGAGCGAAGAGCGTCGAGCGATGCCACTTGAACGTTGTCAAAAACTGATCCCGACAACAGATTTTAAATGCAAAGCATTTCATATTACGGTACACCCAACTCAATGATTGGCAAGACATGGAAAAATTACAATGGCATCCCAAATTGAAAGCATCCATCGTGAATTATTGATTCTGAGATAGAAACGAGACCAGCCCTCTGCAACGACTGTAGGAGTTGCAGGTAGGTAAACAAAATAATATGTCTAAGTTTTCATCAAACATTTACACTGACATTCTTAAAATCTAAAAAAAAAAAACGTATTGGATCACCGGGAAGTGGACTAGAAAGGTGGTGATATTTGTCATAAGTGTCTCTCTTTTTATTGAGGTCATGATCGCCTTGTCGTTGCAGTCATCCAACCCAGCCGTGGATTTTCCGTAAGTAACAACTGCTTTGTTACCGAACTCATCAGTACTAATTCGAAAGTAGCCTAGAAAATAGCTGAGCACACAACACCGAAGAAGTGGCAACACCGTTGACGTTTGTCAGATGGTGGCGCCGCCTACTTGCCTGGAGATGTGGAGGAGCTATCGAATGTGCCGGGGATTTCATTTGTTCATAACTTCAAATCTGCTGAAAATATTTCCCATATCGAAGGATTATCTTATGAACGTACGGTCGAACCTCTATAACTCGAACCCCTCTATAACTGGAATCCTGTCAAAGTAAAAATCTCTATGTAATTTCATCGAGTGTAAGCGGCGATTGTGTGATATTATGGGATTCCCCTAAGCAAGTGTAAAATACCGCAGATAAAATTTCAAGGTAAAAAGCGTTTTAAATTGGCAAGCTGTCGCCGCCGCGAAAACTTAAGACGTTAACGATTGGCAAGAAGATTGAAATTTTGAAAAAAGTGGAGAATGGTGGTCAAAGAAAGATTATTTGCCAAGAATATGGCATTCCAAAAAGTACGTTATCCACTATGATGAAAAACAAAAAGACTATAGTGCAGTTTGGTTTCGAAGTAGCTAACCCAGGTGAAGTATAGCGAAACAAGCCTTCGAAGACAGTAAACACTGCATTAATTAGGTGGTTTGAAACTTCAAGAAAAGCAAATTTGCCCATCTCAGGGCCCATTTTGCAGGATTTTTCCAAAATGATGGGAGATGAAAATTTGAAAGCAAGCTGGGGATGGCTGGAAAAAGAGGTAACATATTTTTTTGTTGTTTTTTATCACAAGAAAAAATCATGTGGTGAAAGTGCTGCCGTGGACCAAAAAAAGTTTGATAACTGGATCAAAGATAACCTTCCGGCTCTTGTCCCTACAAAACAGACGATATTTTTAACGCAGATGAAACTGGTTTATTTTTCAAATTTTTACCAAACAAAACCTTAACATTCAAATCTGAAAAATGCCACGGAGGAACGTTGTCTAAGGAAAGGGTGAGCCTTTTATTAACAACAAATATGACTGGCAGTGAAAAACTAAAACTTGTTCTAATAGGAAAAAGCGCAAAACCACGATGCTTTCGAGGAAAATTTACCGCTGACTTACTACAAGAATAAAAAGGCATGGATGAGGAGTGACATTTTTTCAAAGTGGCTGTCGGAGCTGGACAAACAGTTTCTACTTCAAAACCGTAAGGTTTTGTTCCCGATTGACAACTGTCTTGCGCATCCTTGCATTGATCATCGATTAAATATAAATAAAGTTGATTTTCTTTCCACCAAATATGACATCTCCCTCTCTGGGATTAAGTTTCAGAATAATAAAATCTAATCTATGATACACAAAATACATTTATTTTCAACAAATAATCACATGCTGTAAACATCTATTTTGACAATGGTATACAAATTGTATTACATGAAAATATAGATAGATTTTTTGTTGTGTTGAGCTGCAAAACACAGGTGTCTCACTGCTTCTCGATAATTCTGAAAAAATACTGAAAGCAATAATGTTATTTATACAATCTTTGTCAATAATCTAGTTACTGTTAATCAGTTTGCTCAGTTTATATCTAGAATTTGTTGGCATAAACAGATAAAATTTTGCTTAATAAAACTTACGGCTTAACTGTACTCTGTCGATATTACCATGCGTTTTGATGCCAATACAAAAAAAGCTGTCGTAATTTGTATAACGGTGTCAATTACAAGGATTATAAAGAGGCAATTTCAGAGAATTATTCCATGTAATTTTAAATAATCTGCAAACTACATCACGCCGATATGTTAAGTTCACAGCCTACCTGTAGCACTTCTGAACTTCTACTTCTCCCACAATAGTCACAATACATTTCAAGTATACCAACACAGCTACTGACAGTGTTGCTTTGTATTTTACACTCGTTTTTACTACATATTTCCGAAGGCATCGCAGTTGAGAATCTGGATGTTAACGAAAACAAGCGCCATATTTGATATTTGTGCATTTGGATAGAGACAAAGACACATGACTCAATGGTAGTAATGCAGTTTCCTTGACTTTGTACGGAGATGATGACCTCGGCGTTACCAGTTCGCCCATAAAACGTTTCACCGCCCTGATGGACGCGACCTTAATTTTCGTCGGTCTTTTTCTCGGTTCCTCCGCTACTCTTTGACCCCTCTATAACCCTAAGCGTGCTTGGATACTGAGGGAAAGCGACGGAAAGGGATCCGCGGCGACATTTGTAACTTGCAACGTACCAATCGAATTTTGAAGAAATGTCGACTCAAGTTTGCTACTATGTCAAGGACAAAAATCAAAAAGCATTATAAATTTTGAAAAGTGATTCCAAAAATTACGTATAAAAGAACAAAAGACAGGAAAACCGCTCAAACCGGGTATTTTGACGTTACCTAGGTCCCTGGACGTTTTTGGAACCTTTAAAAAATCGGTCGTGAGGGTTCTAGAGGAAGGGAGAACGTGAATCTCAATTATTTTTAGCCACGATAATTCGACGCAACTATTAGACATATTTAGCAAATAGATTTTCATGTGCCATGCCCTCAAGATTACCAAATGTCTACCTGTGAGACTGCCATAAATTCTAAAACTGCCGAAATGATTTCCATACGGCTTTCACCAATAAACGTGGCTACCCATGAGGAAGAATTAGGTGTATAATTCATTAGAGTTTTGTGTAAATTGACTGAAACATCACGGACTTGTAACCCCAGCTATCAAAAGTGTTCGTATAGAAAGTCACTATTTGGGTTATGCTGCGAATTTCACTGACGATACGTAAAATATGAAGTACAACATTCAAATTAGTCAATCATGTGTAAGTGAACAATCGACTGTATACGGCGTTTAGGTGCAAAATAATCACTGGTTCGATTCTCTACCAGAGGGGAATTTCTTGGTGTTTTTAATATATTGCACTTTCGGACATACAAAATTTAAATATAATATGTTCCTTTTTACTAATAAAACCTGATAAGTCCTCACTGTTGTATATAAATAGATATTCTCCAGTGCACTGATTTTCAGGAAGCCCCCTCCTACTTTTTCAAGTTAGGCAGTTGAAATACGGGGTGTTTTGAAGCTACTCTTAACCCTGGAACATAAAATCACTACCTTTCAAAATGGCGAATTGGCAGGCTATAAAATTTATGCGTTTTTGTGCATTCAATCGTTTATAACTCGTCAACTAATCATCGGTATGTAATAGAATATTATATCTATTTTTTTTTGGCGCAATAAACCTTTATATTGAAAAGATATACATTTTTATTTAAATAAGAACCAAATCTCATAAAATATTTTAAGTGATATTTCAAAAACAATATGAACGAAATATTCCTAAACCTTCATTTCAGTAATGTCTTTCAAACATAAATTGCGAAATATTACATAGAAAGATGTACGGGGATGTGGAAAAGATATGTAATATACCAGAAATATCTCTGAAAAGTGATGTGCTATGTGGACGGTCGCGTAACTCTGGTTGCCTAGCGTCGACGTTGCGAGGCCGCCATGGTCCCAGCTATACGAGGGCGTTACAGAACAAATAAAAAGGCGGAGTCTGAGCTCTCGAGTACTCCGCCACTGCTATGGAGAATGAGAGTTTAATAACGAGACTTTGAACAGATTGAGTCTTCAAGAATTGGGAAAGGCGTAGCTGCCGGATTATTCGCTTCTGAACTGAAATAAATTAGACCTTAGAAAAAATAGTTGATTACCCACTTGTATAACAAAAATAGTTAATCAAGTTTATTGAAAAGGTTCTAATGAATTCGAATGAGTACTGATCTGTTAGGTTCACTTAACTATACTGTAAATACAGCTTTACATCTCAAACTATAAAAACAAGCCTAACACGTTTCTGCTTTGATGCCAAATGCTTCGACAATATTGTATGAACATTATATTTAATTAAAACGTAATATTACTGGAATCATTTCTTGATAATAAAACTTATTTCACCGACACCGTAAATGCAACATTCATAGCATTTCTTTTGTTACTATTCTAGGCCGTATAAAAGTAGTGTGAGATATACTTAATACGCCGCACGCCTATGTTTCCGCAAGTTTCCCCCGAGAGCATAGCCTTAGCGAAATGATGCGTGTACTTTTTCCGCCAGAGCGATTCAAGTTATTTACTGCTCTCATTGGGCGATCACAGGAGCAAGTTGAAATTCGATACGTGTGGTGGTGAATATGCTATTTAACTAGTTGGGATAATTAACTTACCAGAACGGCGTTTCAACCCCTACAAAAAAATTCTGCAAGTCTCTGAAACGCTACCGCCACTGAATTGATTTTTAAAACCTATTAAGCTTTTTCGTCCTTGAAAAAGTAGCAATCTTGACTCCAAATTGTATCATAATCCGAGCGGTACCTTCCAAATTATAAAAGGGTCACGGATCAGGAGACAGACAAACAGACCGACAAACAGATACAGACAAATGAGTGTCGTCGATTTTCGTGATGTAGGTATAGTGCCAGGAAAGATCCAAAAACATGTTATCTCATTTCCTAAGTTTTTTGTGATTACAATACTTGTCAATTGCCGTAGGAAGTAAACATTGACGATTTCATTTTTATCGAACTTTTAAGTCCAAAATTTTGTTGTTGTTGCTGCTGATGTGATTTTTTGTGCATTATCTTATGACACCTTCAATATAGTAATGATATGTATGTACCCAAATGCAATAAAAAATTAAAGAGTAAATAAATATGGATGTATAAAGACTAGCCAGTACGTGAAATGTACATGGTACAATTATGCAAATACATATACCGTGAGTTTCAAATTCGACTCTCACCATTGAGATATCGGTAAGAGATACGGAGTCGCTTAAATTGGAGCAAAGCTGGGCATTTGGGTAACTAAGAAAATGGAATTTAGGTAGTTACTAGAATTTACGGAGGTATATGGAAAAAATGAATTTTCCTAAATTCGTTTTTATTGTTTCCTGACTTTATTTCAAAATAAAACGCACACCGACATTGCCAATTTTTCTCCTCTACAAGATGGCATCATTAGAATTTCGATATGACGTTTCCTATCTTGTCCTTAATCATCAACTTTATTTTTTCTTATAGACGCCATATTGGATTTTTGCACAGGTGAATAGAGTTTTAAGTTCTGATTGATAATATGTCATATATTGACTTTTCCAAAACTTACGTCATTTCAAAAAACAGAATTTCCTATACCGGCTTTGAAATTATCAGATTTGTTTGATAATATCATCAGAGAAGTATTAATTCGGCTTTTATGTACTAGACATGTGTGAAAAGTCCCTATTACCGGTCTTAATGATGTGCTATTGTAAAAATCATGACATACATTGATATTATAAAACTTCAAATGTCTAAATAAGTAATCTCCCTGTAGCTGGCTCTAAGTCATCGAATAGACAACAAAATAATGCTAAAACTATTTCGTATTATAACTCACTTCAGATTGAGTAAAAGCCTAAAATGTTACAGCTTCCTTAATACATTTCATATCCGCCTATATCTAAACACATCTTGTATCCAAGTAGTACGAGTATTAATCGAGGAGTTAGGTGAAATGTAGAGTGTCTCCATCGAGTTAAAATTATTTGAAAATCTAAACCCGCTTCTAAAAAAGCTGGAGTATTGGTGGTTCCAATGAGCCTTCATACTAGAAAAAAACTACGGTAATGCAGTTCGAGCTATAAAAACGATCCAGAAACTTGAAGCCTGGTGTATCGGTAGTGTTTTCGGAGGGATAGATTTTTCCAAAATTAGCGGATTTTTACTTAAGTCGGCCGCTTAAATCTGCAGGTATCTGTTTTTTTATGAAACTAGATACTTATGAATGATATATAATAGAATACAATATAAAGACAACCCTGCTGTAATCTATTCTACTATTATTTATCATTCATAAAAATCAGGTTTTATAAAAAAAGATACCTGCAGATTCCAGTCGGACCTCGTATTATCACCTCAGATAATAGCCTGCGCATGGGCAGAAGCTGGTACTTACTTTGATCACTATGCCGTCAGTCAGGCGACAAGTTGTGGGGTCGTTTTATTCTCAGTTCGCGGGTTCTTCTCATATATAGGCTCTATAATTGGTTCAGAGAAGATCCAAGCCGATAAGTTTACATTGCATTGTTTGTTGCCAAAATTGCGTAGCTTTATTGCATACTTTTGAATAGTGTGTCTACCAATGCCTACCAAAGTGACAACGTTGTATCAACATAATAATAATACTTACCGGTAGAAACATCTACCTTCGTTAGGCTGGTGCCGCGCTATGTAAGAAGTACAATGTCATGAAATCGTCTAACGCCACAATTATCTGCAAACACTCGCACGTTTAGAAATTAACACAAATATACGAATTTAATGACAGTACTGTCAAAAAATTGACTTATGATAAGTGCACTTCATTCCTGACTACAGACTCTAAGAATTAGAAGACGACCAAATCTTTCTACCTCGTTTGAATTTGATGATTCAGATAAACATGTTATGCCATTTTCAAGGTCAACTACGAAAATCTTAGTTTTTCAGAAATAAATTTGGTTTGAAAAGGTCAATTAATAACATATTACATATTTTTGAAATCACGATTAAAAACTCTATTCATCCGCTCAAAAAACGAATGTGACGTCTATAAGTAAAAAATAAGTTTATGATTGAGGACAAGAGATGAATCCCATTTCAATTAAAGTAAGGCAAAAATAAAAAAGATGTTGGAGAAAATAAGTTTTTTTCCATCTCGATCCGGAAATAATCGGAAGTGCAAAACTTACTAAGTGCCATTTTCTTAGTAATCTAAAGGCACATCTTTGCGCTGCTTAAGCGATTTCGTATCTCTTACCATTTCTAAGAACCGAATGGTGATGGTCGAATTTGAAGCACCTAGTATACGTGCATTCAACTGAACACATTTGAAATACAGAGAGAACGTGTAGTTACTAAACCAACATCAATTTTATGGTATTAAGTATTTTTGACAAACTTGTAGGTGTCTTCACTATGTTTGTTGGGGATCACAATCCACCCTAGACTGCCATTATAAAAAATAACATTAAAATTTCTCATTGTTCTAATATCTGCAACTAAATAGGTTGAATATATTTGCAGGTTTACAGTTATCAGCCGTTTGAAGATATAACCAAAAAAGTTTTGAAGGATAACACATTCTGCCAGACGTTATATGGCTATAAACCACTTAACTTAAACATGAACCCGATACGCGTGGCATACTTCCTTAGAAAGCCACATTTTTATATAGACAAAAATGAGGAGTTTGTAGGCGATGACAAAACAGTGTTTGTTTTGTTTGCATACTTCCTAAATGCGTCTTTAGACATTCGAATATTCTCCAACATGAGCGATCTACCAAATGATGTGGTGGTTGCTATTAAGGAGGGACATGTGGACATTATGGGAAATAGACTCACTCAGGTACTCACAGTACTTGGAACATAGAAACGAATGCTTATTTTCCAACAGGAAATTGCATCCAATACTTTAAGAAAAGTCAGCCATGTATTTTACAGCCTTAACTGTTTCAGGTGTTTTACATCAAGAACGTCGACTATTCGTTCCCTATAGGCAGAGACGACAAATACTTTGTCGTACCAAAACCTCAAATGATCTCAACAGATTTACTCATCGTATTCATGTTTACTCAAACTGTTTGGTTAGCTATTCTAATCACGGTTTTTGTTTTAACTATACTTATGTACACCGTCTACAGAAAAAGCTCAAATTCTTCCTTTTTGGTAGTTTGGGGGGTGTTACTCAGTATGTCACTTGCGATTTTTCAAACCAAAACTCGGTTCAGATATGTTTTGATTATGTGGATCTGTGGAAGTTACATTCTAAGCAGCAGCTTTCAAGCTAATCTAATAAGATCCTTCGTCAATACTAGGTATAAGAATGGTATAAAAACGTTAGATGATTTGAAAGCATCTGGATTGAAAATAGGCTTAGAAAAATATTTTATAGACACCTCAAATGCAACTAAAGATCTTTGTGTGAAAGAACAATATATACAGATGTGGGAAACTAAAATCGTTGAAAGGATCTTGCGAGGAGATACCTCACGCGCCTATTTTTTGGGGAAAGACCTTTCCGAGCATCTGATTGAGGAGTGTATCTATAAGAACTGCGGAAGCCGATCATTTGAGATGATGCCTCAAACCATTTCATCAGGCGTCACAGTATATCATCTACGAAAAAAGTCTTTTTTCACGGCAAAACTAGACAGATTCATAATACTTTTGCATTCATCTGGATTGCTCAAGAGCAGAAAACCACAGAATGAGTACATTCCGGAAAAGGAAAAGGCACTGAGAATGCCACACTTCAGTGCCGCTTTTAGAGCACTGGTTGTTGGTTACATTGTAAGCATGTTGGTGTTTACATTAGAACTGATTATACGGAATTATGGCAAGTAGAAGCTCTTTAAGTCAGTGATAACTATTTATAAACTGTAATATGAAACAGGTATTGGTAAAATGGTGTAAAAATGATATTTAACCCAAAACGTAGTAATAGAAGCTCAATGTATGTATTTATTTGAGATACCTAAATGAAATACCTTATGTGATACTTTTCAAGTTACAAAAAAAAGTAAGTAAAAGTACTTGACTCCTACAGAGAAGCTTTTAAGTTACGGGAAATTTTTAATGCGAATCGCACTAACATTTTAAAATCTGTAACTTATGTTAAGAGGTATAGTAGGCTATTTACAAATACCAGTATTGATTATGAGTAGAAATCAAAATTTCCATATGTCCATATTACAACTTCGACATATTACACAAAAATAATCACTTAATATACATATATAATGAATTACCAGTTAATGTACAACAAATTAGTAATTATTCGTCATTTATAAAATAACTTAAAGATTATTGTTACAAAATTCCTATAACAATGTAAGTTGGTATGGGCATTGGTATGTATTGTTATATTTATACTGATTTTTATTTGTATTAATTTTTGTTACCACATGTATAAATCTGTAGCAAACGGGTAATAAAGACTAAAGACTAACGAATACTTTTTTAAAATGCCTTAAGAGGTTTGGAAAGTATAATGGGAAAACTAATAAAATAATAAATAAAGCTTAAGAATAGAATCTTTGAATTGATGATTGACAATTCTTATTGAGGGTTTGGTTTTGGCAACTATATCTCAAATCAAGGATTCACTTTTTTAATGGTAATTTGCGACTACACTGCATTAAGGTGTAATATGAACTATGCTTCATATTACAGAATGAATTTACTTTTATCCATTTTCCACATATTTTGAATCAATTAGATAGGGGTCAGCTTTTGGGCACTATGATACTTATTTATAAGGTTATTTAACTGACCAATTAATTTTTATGATACCAGAACAATATTCGATTTCCAACAGTATTAAACCAATATGATGTGAACAATGACATTCTTGTACAAATGTCTTAGGGGATATAATGCATTGTGGCAGCAAATAAAAGATGGAGAGTCAGTTGGACATTTCAAAAGAGATATAATCTCTGACAGTACTGTCTAAAATTATAATAAATTGCAATTTTTCTTGCCCACTGCTGTAACGTCATCAGTTGTTGTATACTAGGTCTAAATAAATGGCTACTACTATTGTTAGTTTTCCGCTGTAGAAAAACATTTTTAATCACTTTGCACAAAGCATGAATATACTCTAATTTTTTAAGCAAAGCTAACTCACGTGTTAGGAACATTCCTCATATTCCTATGCCTGACGAAAATGACCACCAAAGTGCCATTGCCCAGCACCCCGACTATAACGATAAGGAAAAACAAAACCGGAACAATATACGTTTCCGGCCTTTCACGGTACGGTATGTAAGTTTCATCGTCTATTGTTTCATTAAACGTGTGGTTCAGTGTTTCATTTGCTGTGTCGTTGAGCAGGGTGGTGATATTCATCCTATGCTGTCCCGGATGCAATCATTGTTGTAGATGAGTGGTTGACAGGAACGGGAACAGCTCTGCTGCAAAGATAACACAAAATTACAATCTGTTGTTCAATTGGCAATAACATGTTAGTGGATGTAACGAGAGCAAATATCTATGCCGATTCTACTCATATACAATTTTCATACAGACGGCAAATAGGTAAAGCGTTTTTTTATTAAACGTCTTTACTACAAGACCTATTTAAATAGGCTACTTGACGTATACTTAATTTCATAGAATGGGTATTTCTTACCGTATTTGGCTTAGAAAGACGAAGTATATCGATTCCAGTTTTTTTAAGCGCAAGATGGATGTCTAATATATTTTTAATTTTTAATATGAAACTGTGAAAACACTATCGCCCATGATGTAAACTGTGAACAAAGGAACGTCATCCGTAAGTGACTGGTGGACTAACGGTGTCTTCTTTAAATAATTCAAAAAAATCCCAATTAACGTATAAAGTCATTGTTTTCTCGGTTTTTTGTTTTGAATAAACAATTATCGTCGTTGGATTCGTAAAAGTAGAAAGCACAAATTTGCCAAAAATTGACACATTCGTGGTTGGTAATTTTTTTGCATTCATCCCGGGTTTCTGCTCAGCTGAGGTGAGGGACATCAAGACTTCTACATATTTGTAAGAACAGTGCATCCGATATATTTATAACGACAGACATAAAAAGAAAGAATATGCTTTTCAGAAGTCATTCAAAACTAAGCTCATATGTCATAACATTTTAATAATTTTATACATTATTGTATTTCCTATTACACATCTGCATGGGAATCGTAAGGTGATGAAGCCGTAGTTAATGTTCAACTTAAACGAGAGGTTGAAATCTGCGCAGTAAAGTAAAATGTAAAATATTTCCCGAAGGTAAGGTGTGCTCCAAGTAATACACGGTGTGCGTATATTTATTTCCCTGGGCACTCTCTAATCCACAGCTTTCCTGGAGGCTTGATCGATATGTTTTTACATTGTCCGTCGATATATATATATGTATATAGGGTAATAATACAATTAATTGTTAATTGGGTAATTTGCAAATTTTTAGGTTTTAGTTAACTCTTTTGACGGTAATCTCTAGCTTTCGGCAATTCTCTATGGAGCCTTCATCAGGAGCTGAAAACACAATTATGATGCTAGCAACCAATACGGGAAAGATTTAAATTGTCAAACAACTTACTCGCCATTGAGGTTGCAGCCAAAACGAACGCGGGGATGAGAGCACTTGTTACTTATATAAAACCAATCGGACGGACACATAGTGCTCTCATCCCCGCGTTCGTTTTGAAACACTATTTGGCTGCAACCTCAACGACGAGTGAGTTTGACAATTTAAATCTTTCCCGTATTGGTTGCTAGCATCATAATTGTGTTTTCAGCTCCTGATGAAGGCTCCATAGAGAATTACCGAAAGTTAGAGAGTACCGTCAAAAGAGTTAACTAAAGCCTAAAAAGTTTGCAAATTTCCCAATTAACAGTTAATTGTATTTTTCCCCAACTAGTCGTTGGCAATGTCAGTGGCTACTCCTCATATATATATATATATTTATGTAAGCTAGTAGAAGCCATGTTCATATGTTTAAAAGTTTGAGAGATTATGCTGCTGTCTGCTTCAATTTACAAATAATATGACGTCTGAACACATTAGTGTACTCGTATGGACCAAACATGGCGAACAGCGTTTTTGCTTGTCAAACAGACACTTATATGTATTTTTGACTTGAAGTTTTACCGTGTCTTACATCTTAAAAATATAGCGTTATTTTTTTTGGTCTTAAAGAACAAATATTAACTATTTAAGATCTAATTGAGGCAAAGTTAGTAGGTATGTTAGTACGTATGCTAGTGTACATATCTGAGCTGAAATTTTATATATACGAGTACATTCCATATATCGATACCCAGGAAATTAAAAAACGATGATATATCCTACCCAATTAAGGCCGTCTACTTCTAGCTTTTTAGATAATTTAAGGGTTTTCTTATAGATATGCGTATCTCCCATATATATGAATCATATCGATCAAAATTTCGAAATAAAAATGAAATAAGGAGTCTTATAAAGATTAGTGAAATATATCTTAGGTAGGGAGAAATTACTAAGCTATTCAATTAGCACCATATACAGGGTGCTTCATTGAGAGACAGGTATCTTATGGCTCAATTACTTGTTCTATACCAATAAAAATTTATAGATCCGTAGTAAGAACTGAGGGTTGGCAGTTGTGTATACCCATGATGAGAAGGTCTTTCTTTACATACACACGGTTGTTACAGCTGGAACATCACAAATAGTGTAAATGATAACATTGGCTCGATGGTATCTATCCAAACGGTGTGTGACATAATGATGCAAGGGACGACTGGTTGTTTTTTGTAGAACGAGTTTGTAAACTTTGAAGGAGTCCTTCATGCCAGAAGGCATTCCAGATGTTTGACAAGTCACGGGAATCTGTCTTTTACTACAGAACTTTGACTCTCGATAACTTGAAAACTGTCCATTAGGGAGGTTGAAGATGTATATAATGAGGAGGTCATAGTGTACAACGTACTGTAATTTCACCCAACTCCACTTTCCCGCATGTTCTGTGCTGTATTATTTTGTAAGCTCATCAAAATACAATTTTAGCAAATATTTTGATTTTTACTTAGTAGGAGTGATTCATCAATTATTTCTGGGCATCATCAGAAAATGTTTAGAATTTGTGTACCTAATGCAATTTTGGATTTTCTGGCACTACTTACTCAATTCCCCATTCCTTAAAATTGGAAACTGTACTGTATACGGTTGAAATGCCAACAATATTAATGATAGTGGTTATTTATGTATCTTGTTAGTAACCATCTTAGGGTAAACATTGGAAATATTATACAGGATAGATACTTTTAAGATATCTCTGCACCTAATCTCCTCCAATAATTGCTTACCCATATTTCATAGTCCAAAAGAAAAATAAACACCTCAGAAACTTTTCCCGCCTAAAAACTTTTATCGTTCAGTTGAAACTGTGTCTAGGGACCGAAAAGTTTACCTTAGTTGATATTCAGAAGCATAATTAGCAAATACGAGCCGAGATAATGTCAACATACTGAAATTAGAGTGTACACACTAACTTGATTAAGTGGCGTCGTTTTAGACGGTACTATGAAAAAATTGTTACGTTGGAATTGGTGCATAGCTAAACAGAGTGCTGCAACCTTGAGGAAATGGAGTATCTTCTCATTGTGCTTACACGGTGTCATGTAGAGGAAGTGATACTGAGCAGATCTAGCTATACGGTCCAGATTTAATAATCATGATAAAGCTTTATTGTTCAACCAGTGGCGTTACTTGCTTTTCAGGGGTTCCATATCAAAATTTGTAGGAAGGCCCCACCCAACTGTGGCGCGTCTCAAATAGAGGGCAAATTTTAAAGATTGAAGAATATTACAAAACAAACATGAACATTGAATAATACGAATTTTCACGAATTTACCTTAAGAGCCCGAAGTTAAGTGGTGCGCAAACCAGAGCGGTGGCGACCGTGGTGGCGGTTACCAGGCGGACTACATGTCTGCAAACCAATGCGATTTTTCAGCGACAAATCTAGTATCTTTAAAAGCATTCAGAATTAAAGTATGCAAATGAGTGCAGAAGAAGCTTTGCTTTTGGTCTTGTTAGTGAATTGAGATGGTAAGTACTTATGTGAACAAATGCCTAATAATAAGAATAGGAAAAAAATGCAAATCCAAAATGTACTTAAGTTATTATTCACATTTCTTTTTTTGTTTAAGAAAAAGCGAAGGATTTGGATTCATGATATTAATTGTGATCGGGAAAGCAAAGGAGAATTTTATTCAATATTTCATAAACTAAGAGAGGATAGAGAGTGATTTTGGCCTTTTTCAATATTCATATAGTCAGTGTGAGACAAGTCATACAAGGTGGATTGTTCCCGCACATTTTCGATAAGTTTTTCGTTTTCTCACATGTTTACTACTAATCCGTAGAAAGAATATCGCGCGAACTATGCGAGCAAATGATGCATGCAGCGTACCACCGCAGGCCACAAGTTGGCCGCGGTAGAAAACGGCAAAGAGAGCGGGCGCGTTTGCCGATTTAGTTACATGCGTCTTATTTGCTCGAAACCGCGATCGCTATCGCCACTGCGGCCGCTACCGCTTTGGCTTATTTTTCTCATAGGGGGTGGATCATCAGCATGAGCGAGGGTTCGCAAGGTTTTTCATGGTAGTAGGGGGGGGGGGGGATGTGAAGTGAATGCGAACATATTAGAAATTCAGACAATGATGTTTGTTTTGCGATATCTACAATACGTAAATCCATGTGGGGACATAGTGGTAATGCTACTTTATTTTTGAAAATCGATCAAATGGCAGCGGTATTGTGAGTGAAAATTAAAATAGCTTTCAGATCGTGCAAAGGTTTGTTTTTGTGTTATGCTTTACAACTTTCTGAACATCATCAAGGGTAATCAAACATCCTTTTGGAGAGGTTATACTTTTTCAAAAATTCGTAAATTTGCTTTTATCGTTTCTGATTGGTTCAGGTAGGGCATATTAAAAACATCGTAAAGCTTAAACATTTTGTTTCTGTACAAAGGCTTATCTTGAAGGTGAATTCAAAGTCAAATTCAATCATCCACCGGAACAGAATTCTAGTATTTCAATATTTTCAGCCTCTGAAACCAAGGTTGCTTCACAGAAGTCCTAAAAATTACTTTTAATTATGGAAAGCTCCTTCCACCTGTTGCAATTTTAATCCACAGGGTTAAACACATGAAGCCTAGCCAATCCAAGGTTTAGATATTGAGAACTTTTAATTTAAAGCACGTCCTGAAATCGTGAGAATATGAGTTACGCCTTACGCATTTTTTCGTACGTGTGGGCCTCTGTAAACTAGGGGACTCGTGTCATTGCGGCTTATACGCTCATGTGCCCAACAGTAGGTAAACACCATTTAGAGAGCTAAAAGTAGTAGAATAGCTTACATGATAGTCACAGAAGAAGTATTAAAAATATAAACATAAAAAAGGTGACCAAAATCCATCAGACATGGGCTCGAGACTTGTTTTTTAATTCACATAAACTGCAGTGAAAAATATCACAAACTAATGAAATTTTGTTGGCATTTCGGAAACTTAAAATTAAAAGCATCATAATGCCTAGAAGTTATTGTAGGGACCAGAATAGAGTAGAACCCGATTATCCGAAATGATGTGGACCTAAGTGCTTTCGGATAATCTAAATTTCGGATAAAACGGAAATAAATTTAAGACTACATATTTACGAGTATTTAGCAACAAAAGTAGTAATTTTTAACTGTACGTTTTGCATTGTTCCTATTTTTGCCAGTAATATCCCTCCAACGTTTGATAAGTAGCATATCAGCTGCTGTCGCATTTTCTTGTTGTTCGACGTAAGTCAACGCCTTTTGTAGAGCTTCTAATCCTTCAGAATGTAAAATTTTGGCGGAGATTTCTGTCTCATTGTCACTAGCATCACTTAAAACTGTCTGATCGGCATTGTTACAAACAGTTTATATTAGTTCTGTATCAGTTAATTCTTCCGCAAATTCATCACCATTAATCCACTCACTGCTTGGGTAAGATTTTCATACCCAACTATTTTTACGACGAGCTCATGTAAATTATTGTTGTTATTCTCATAATCTGCGCAAGGTTGCATTTCTTGCTTAACTATTGTCGACCGAAGATTCTTCTGTAATTGCGTTTTAAATTCTCTAAAACTCCTTGATCCATTGGCTGAATCAGTGACGTTATACTAGGAGGCAAGAACATCAGTCGTATTTCTCCACTTTCGAGTTGCTCCTCACTTGGGTGTATCGGAGCTTTGTCTAATAGTAAAATAGTCTTTGGAAAAAAAATGATTGTAAAACCAGTCCTTAAATAGAGCGGCATCCATCCAGGCCTTTTTGTTTATTTTTATACCACACTGGAAGAACGTTGGGACGGACCTGTTCAAATGATCTTGGTTTAGCTGATTTTCCGATTAACAAGTTTGTCTGTACCGGAAACATTGCTACAAGCAAGGATAGTCACACGTTCATCACTGCGTTTGTGACCAGGAGCTCCATATTCTTGTTTCGGAGCTAAACTTTTTGCCGGTAACATTTTATAGTTTAGACCCGTTTCGTCGCAGTTGTAAATTCGTTCTGGATTTAAACCATACTGCTTCATCAATTCTTTAAAATGTGCTCCAAATTTTAATGCAGCGGAGTTATCGGCAGATAACTTTTCTCCGCGAACTTTTATTTCTCGTATACCGTGTCGTTGTTTCCAACTATGCAGCGAACCATCACAGGCTGTAAAGTTATCAGGCGCCTCAATAACTAGCAATTCTTCACTTAAGTTGACTGCCTTTTGCTTTAGAATTGGTCCGGAAATTGGTATTCCACGTTCTCGATTCTGTGTAAGTCACAGATATAAAGCATCATTCACTTTTTGATATTCCCCCTGTTTCATAGTTTTCCGTGACGGATGCGATGATGTCAGAACACTGGACCACTTTTCAATTTTCTCGCGTTGTTTTTTTCATTCTGAAGTGGTACTCACAACCACACCCAAATCACGTGCCACGTTTTTAAGCAAATCACCTGTATCTAAATGTATGATTGCCTCAAATTTTTGTTCTATGGTAATAACAACGTCTATTTATATGCTGCTCCATCTTAGCGATTATGAACCTGACTGAAACAAACATACACGCACACATACCAGTGAATTCCGCAAACGCGCTTGAGGAATCACCGGCAGTGAATCTTATGACGCAAACGCCGAAAGGGGGCTATATCGGATCATGCGCCAATTTCCCGCACAACTTAGAAATTATTGTATGCGATCTGTTTCTGATAATCGCGATTCGGTTAATAGGGGTTCTACTGTATCTTCCTGAACTAACAATATAGGACAATCTCTTTTCCCATTCAAATGCAAGAATAGTACATATAAGAGATATCTATGCTTTTCCAAACACTGATAATGATATGTAGTCGTTTAGGATAAGTAAAACCTCTTATGAGAACACACCATTTAAAAAGCTGTGAATTCCAAAAGTTTCTCTTGTACTTTTTTGACAGTGGCGATGTACATAAAGACCTGCATATGAGTGTATCCCAGTTTGGGTTTTACCAGAATGAAATACAGAGACTGAGGTGTCACTGAAATTTCTTACGCTCCTAACAATTAAACCATATGGGCGACAAGCACTTCTAGGCAAAGTGCCTTCGTTGCAACTCGCCAGATCGACAACTCAGGTGGCACTGAACTGGTAATTACTTGCGCTGTACGCCTGTACTACACAAGATCTGCCCACTGTAATGCTATTCCGGTTATTTTTGGGTACCTCATCGTATAAATAACGTATTTGTAAGAATACAATCATTTTGTCGTTATTTTATTGTTTTCATATCCTGCAGTGGAAAAACAGCAATAGAATATGTATACCTAATGTTATTATTGGGAACAATATTGCTCATTTAAAATGGATGCACACCACGTGTGGAAAAATTAATATATAGATATAAATATATAAATAATGTATATTTGACTATACAATCATTTGGAATCTCTACTGCACCCCATTTCTATTGGCTGGAATGTAAATGAAATCGAATATAAATAAATTGAACGAGGCTTTATGCCAAACGGAAATAATGACGGGCTAGTTGGTCTCACTGAACTTGTTGAAATGAAATAGCGCTCAACATTATTACTTAAACGTATCATGGCTGCCAATACATTCAGGAGTGGAAGCGTTGGAGTAACACTTGAATCACCATACTAACTATAAATTGTGTGTGGGTTCTTAAATATGGTATCTGTTGGTACGTTCCTAAAATATTTGCTACCATACAGTATGTGCCAAATTTTGACCCACATTTCAAAGTTGATCTTTTATTTACCACGTCACTGGAGATAAGTATTGAAATCATCAAGAAAGAACATATCATTTATTTCCGTCAGTCTTTTGGTCGGTCTAGCTGCTAATCATTGGCTTGTCTTTAATTTGGAAAATACCGCTCAGATTTTCATGACATTTCCACATAATGTCACTACCATGCCAAAGACGAAAAAGTTTTGTAGTTTTCTGAAAACCGGTCCAGTGGCGGTGGAGCTACAGGCGCAGAATGCAAAAATAAAAATCGCTCAATCTTCTTTTTTTGACGATTTTGGGACGTCTGATCATTTTTGGAAATCTTTGGCGAATAAAAACTTGGGGTGAGGGGTTGTAGGGGTAGAAGAGGATGTATCGCAATTTGGTGTCTGTAGTATGTTTATAAATGTCTAACTCCAGCAATTCTAGGCGCCTATTAGGCAAATTTTACACATATATTTTCCCGTATATTCGCCCTTAATATACGTATACAATGCGAAAGTGGCTAACATTAAAAAAAGTACATTCTGCGATATTGACAACCCTGTATTGGTCATCCAAGAGATTGATGAATTGGGATAAAATTGAGTATAACAAAAAAAAATGCACAAATTTGACTACTCCATCTGTCAAGATGGCATATACGCAGGCTGCCAAAGTTTGGTGTTTGTTTTACATAAAATATCCAGTAGTTCCACAACTATAATAAAAATCAATAAATATATCTCAATATTCTTCTTTCAAAAGGGCTTAGCCAAGTATTCACAAAAATCAAGGCATTCCATTAAAAAAATCTCCTATGAATAGTTTTTCTTGGAAAGTTTTCGATCAGGGGTATTACTCTGACCTCGCACGGTTGGGTACCCTGTATACGTTTTTTTTATGAAATGGCGGGTCATGCAATATAAATTCCTCTCCATTGGGATTTCGGAAACCTTAAGAGATACAAAGTTGCTTAAATGGGGGCAAAGTTGCGTATTTACTTCCGGTGGGAGACGCAAGAAACACGAATTTTCTCAAAATGGTTTTAGTTTTTCTTGACGATTGGTTGTTGATTTGTAAGAGATTCAATGTGAAGGTAGTGATTTTATATTTTACACTCATAAATTATCATAAGAAGCTTCAATACATGATCCCCCACTATATAAGAGGAAATGTTTCAAGATGGCGCACTAGTGATATTTTAACATTTTCAACATCAACTTTTGTAGAATCATAAAGCATCCATGATGATCCTCAATATGAGATATCACACAGCCCACCATTTCATTAAAAAAATGTTCCAAGATGACGCCCAGCCCACTATCAAGATTTTGATTTTTACCCTACAATATAGTATCTATGCATCAATGTAATCGCCTAAAGTTTCAGCCTGCTAGCTTTAACAGTTCATGGAATACGTTAAGGTAGGGGGACCTTTCTGAAAAGCACTGTATATCCGTACATAACTGTATTGATTAGTGTCCAGTTGAGCAAATTACGAATTGCCTGAACAGAGATTAATTAAAGCCAGCTAACTGGGTATGTTGTGTTAAATGCATAACATGGAAGTTGACCAATCGGAACGGAGAATCTGGACGCAGCACGTGGAACGCCTCATGGGCAACATAACGTAGTGGATGGTGACTATATGTTTTATAATGTTAAATGTTCAACTAGAAAAGGTATGTGATGACAATAACGGCTCAATTTTAATTTCGTACAACAAAACTTGATTGAAAATCAAGTTGAAACCTCTATTTTATATAGATTATGTTACGTGTGATGCCTTTTGCTTATATCAGTTACAAGAAGAAAATAAATGACAAACAATACATATAATAACAAACAGTACAGATTGCACACACTTAAATATGGTTAAGAGGATGACAATAAAATTATAAAAGATAAAATTATTACAAACTACGTTAAAATCAATAAATAAATAGCATAAGAGATAGAACTGAAATAAATATTTTATACATGGTTCGAATAAGTACCAAAAAAAGGAAATGTAGCTTGAAATATAACTATTGAGTATCCGTGGAGAAGTTGTGGTTGAGGAACTCGTCAATGGTGAAAAAAGCAGACGACAAGAGCAATTTTTTCACAGCATTACTGAATTCATTGTATGCTAGTGATCTTAGTTCCTTAGGTAAAATATTATAAAATTTTATGCCATGGTAGTTAACTCCATTCCTTGTTTTAGCAAGTCTATGTTGTTTTGTGTACAAGTTGTCTCGGTGCCGGGTATTATATGAATGAGTTTCATGGTGGCTTGTATAAAGGTCAGGATTTGACTTGACATGCAAGAGGCAGCTCAACATATATGTGCCAGGCAAAGTCATGATCTTTAGTTTGATAAACTCAGATCTGCAGGGATCTCTATATCTTAGATTTGCTATATATCGGATACATCTTCTCTGTAGGGCAAACACTCTGTATATGTGGGGAGAGTGGCCCCACGCCAGAACGGCGTATGTCATTTTGCTATGGAAGTACCCATGGTAACTGGTCAACAGGACGTTTAGTGAAACTGAGTGTTTTAAATTGCGAATTAAATAAATTATGCTTGTTAGAGATTTGGTAACATGACTGATATGTTCATCCCAGTTCAAGGAGGAGTCGATATAGACACCAAGAAACTTCACAGCCTTTGCGTGGTCACCATTATGATTGTTATTTCGAAGTGTGACTGTCAAGGATTGAGATTTGTTTGAATTTAATGTTAATTTGTTAGCTATAAACCAATTCTGAATGCTAGATATACTGGCCGTCGTTTCGCTGTTGATGTTTGTAAATGAATCGTGGGCTGAGATCAGAGTGGTGTCATCAGCATAAAGAATGAGCTTACTGTCCATACTATTTAGAAGACAATTAGGTAGGTCGTTTATAAAGGGTGTTCAGATAGGGACGCTCGATGTTTGAACGGCGCGCGCGCCCAAACCGTTGGGGATACAGCTGTCAAATTTTGTGAGGTTATTAAGTTAGTCTTGACATTTAATCATGGAGCAGTACACGATTCGACAACGCGTGAAAATTGTGAAAATTTATCATCAAAACAGATGTTCGGTTCGTGAAACGTTCCGCGCATTGCGTCCAATTTATGGTGCGCATGGCCGTCCTGCTGAGTCCACTATTCGACGTCTGCTCAATAAATTTGAGAGAACTGGCTCAGTGGCAGACCAAACAACACCCGTACGGCAACGAACAGTAAGAACAATCGAGAATATTGCTGCTGTGCGAGAGAGCGTGCGTCAAGACCCGAATCAGTCATTGCGGCGACGTTCACAAGAACTTGCCCTTCCAAAGACCTCAACATGGACAATTATGCGTCGAGACTTGAAATTGCACGCGTACAAAATTCAATTGACGCAAGAATTGAAACCGCGAGACCATGGACAGCGCCGTACATTTGCCGCATGGGCTCTAGAGCAGTTGCAAGTCGACCCTGCATTTGCACGAAAAATCATCTTCAGCGACGAGGCGCATTTCTGGATGAATGGGTATGTCAATAAACAGAATTGCCGTATATGGGCTGACCAAAATCCTGAAGTGACTTGCTCAATTGCTATGCATCCTGCTAAAGTGACTGTATGGTGCGGTTTCTGGGCTGGCGGCGTAATCGGTCCATATTTTTTTGAGGACGCTATGGGCAACGCGCTTACGGTCAATGGAGATCGGTATCGCGCCATGATTAATGATTTCCTGTGGCCTCAACTGGACGATATGGATCTAACAGACATCTGGTTCCAGCAGGACGGCGCTACGTGCCACACCGCACGCGCAACGCTGGATTTACTGCATGAAAAGTTCAACGGTTTCATTATTTCGCGCGGCGGCGATGTGCACTGGCCACCAAGATCGTGCGATATAACGCCTTTAGACTTTTTCCTGTGGGGCTACGTGAAGTCTCAAGTGTATGCGGATAAGCCACAAACAATTGCAGCATGACGCTGAAATGTGCGGAAAAGTGCTCGAAAATTGGACCATGCGAATGCACGCTGTACAGCGCAGTCGCGGTGGCCATTTAAACGATATAATCTTCCATACATAATGTCGTCGAATGCTATTTACGAACAATATAGACTTTTAGTGCTGACCTAAATTTTTTTCCTTTTTTTTCCGTTTTAACTTTCGAGCGTCCTTATCTGAACACCCTTTATACAGTAAGAATAACCAAGGGGCAAGGACAGATCCTTGTGGCACGCCATGTAAAACTGTGCTGACTGACGATGTGCAGCCATCGTATTCGATTGCCTTTGCTCTAAGTAGGATTTTAGGAGGACTACAGCAGAAGGATTAGTTGCCATGGATGACACGAGACACAAATACCAAACATCAGCGTTGCTGCATCAACGTTTTATATACGTATATCGTTAATCAAAACTTGGAAAACAAATTCACAGATAACTAACAGTTAACATCCAAGTCACAGCCACCTAACTTGAAAGTTAACTAACGATTGAGAAATCGAACCCAAGTGGTATTGTTGGGAAATAATACAACGCTACAAGTATATTTAAAACAAAAGAACAAAAAGAACATTGTAGGCGCTTTAGGGAACTCATTACGGTATGGTTTGAGAGAACAGTCATTCATCGCAACTCACAACAATTTTACCTGTGGCACAGATACATTATTTATATTCTAAGCTGAAATTGTAGATAGTTTTATAGATAGTGTTTTCCCCCTATAAAGTTATTGCAGAACATCTATGTCGGAATCAGATTCTTCTATAGAAACGGATGCGATTTTGAGAAGACTTGTCGGCTTATGGCAAAACTTATACCATAAACACTATATGAATCACGGTAATTGGCGGTCGCAGATCCTACCTGATCCGTTAATCCTACCCCTCAAGATGACAAGATGATGTTTTTTCTCAGTTTGTGGAAGCAGGTTCATTTACTTTTTGCGAGTTATCAAATCAATTGGGATTCTCATAAAGGTAGTGGAAAATTCAACATCACCATCCAAAATAACATTGCATCACATTAAAAGCTTATTATTCTCTCATGGTTGTAATATATGTTTTCATTGTCTGAAGTGATGGACACATCTCAGGAGCGAACAAGCTATGCATGCCCTTAACATCATTAATTATTCCAGATAATGATCTTCCTAATGAGCTCAGCTGACTTGAGTAGTGGTAGAGTGTGTCATCTAGTCAACTATGTCTTGCACTACAGCGAGTGGGGGAGGATGGGATTCCAGCGATAATAGCCAATCCTTCTGGTTCAAGAGAGTAACTAATTATTCACTAATCCATATTAATATGCAAACTGAAATTGGATCTAGAACCTGGTAATTTGGTTAGATGATGCAGAGAAATGGAATGGAGGATAGGACAAAAATGTTTACATGAAGTCATGCCGAATTTAAAAAATCACCTTTTTTGTATTACCATTATAGCTACAATGTATAATAATAATAATAATAATAATATTTATTTACTCTAAAATACAGGGAACATGAAACGAGTAAATAAATATAATATATCCATAGGAGGACAACGCCTGTGCATGGATCATATGTATGTTGAATTGCAAAATATAATAAAATAGAGAGAAAAAAGAAATTATTGGTAAGAATGGTAGAGCATTTATTGTGTAATATTTGAGATTATTTTATTAATTTGATTTCTCCCAATCGTGTTAATAAATTTTTTTAATTTTTTTTTGAAGCCTAATGTATTGCGTAATTGTTTTAAATTATTTGGTAAATGTTCGTACAATTTTGGAGCTATATACAGGTGACATCGTTTCATTAGGGATTTGTTTGGTTTAGGAACATTTTTTGCGCGTAATTTATATCTGGTTTTATGATTATGTTTAATTATGTCGTGTTCACTAATAGTTTTGTGATAATGAGTGATGGTATGTAAGAAGTAAAGTTGTTTAGTATCATATACTTGTGCATCATTATATAAGTCATTAGTTGGGTATAATTTTGATTTGCCTAACATTGATTTTAAAATTCTTCTTTGAAGTACATCTAAATCGTTAAAGTATGTCGTGCATGCAGCACCCCACACTACTATACCATATGTTATGTGTGCCCGACTAAAGCTTGATATATTATTCGTAGATAATATTCAGTTAATATACCGGTTAGAAATTTTATTTTATATGCTATGAATCTAATTTTCTTTAGTATTTGAGAAATATGTACATCCCATCTCAAGTGGGGATCTAGATAAATTCCTAAATATTTTGTATCATTAACTCTATTGATTTTTATATTTTTATCATTTACCTCAAAACGGAAGGTGGTTATATTTTGCTAGATGATTAGATAGTGATGAAAATGGTAAAAAAATAGTTTTAGTAAAGTTAATTGTTAATTTTCGGTTATTAAACCACTGAATAATTTTGCAAAAGTCATTTTGGATAATATCTTTTAAGTCGTTCCAATCCTTACCTTTATAGAGTATAGCAGTATCGTCTGCAAAACTGACTATTTTACCAGTACTGTTAATTTTGAATATATCGTTTAAATAAATATTGAATAACAGAGGTCCCAAAATTGTACCTTGTGGAACACCACATTTAACAAACATTTCTTTACTATACGAGCTTAATAATTTTACTGATTGCGGTCTATTTGATAAATAATTTTCCATTAAAGTATACATCTTTCCACGAAAACCTATTCTTTCTAAGATTTCCAAAAGTATATTGTGGTTAACTGTGTCAAACGCTTTTTGTAAGTCCACAAATACGCATATCGATGGTACTTTTCCATCTATATTTTGGGTTATTTCATCTACTATACTTAATACCCCATCTGTTGTAGATTTGCCCGCTATAAAACCATATTGATTTGAATTTAGAATTTTGAATTTATTAAGAAAATTAATCATTTTATTAAAGAGTAATTTCTCAAAAACTTTAGCTAAACTTGATATAAGTGAAATAGGTCGATAGTTAGTGACGTATGGTTTTAATTTCTGTGCCACTGGGCAAGGAAGTATTGCAATCCCGGAAAATTTCCAGAATGAGATATGTCTTTTTTATGTTATCTGACATGTACGAGTACATCACGAAAAACCATGTCACTCGTTTCTGTCGGTCAGTTTGTCTGTCTGTCCGTTAATCCTTTATCCCTCCATAATTTGGAAAGTACCGAACGTTACTAATCTGCCAATGACGGAAAGTTTTTGAAAATAGGTCCAGTGGCGCCGAAGTGAGGGGCGAAAAAAGAAAAATGAAAAATCGATTAAGAGGCTCCCGATCACTTTCAAACAAACTGTTAAGGGTTGAAAATTGGAGATTGGGGGTTGTAGGAGGAAGGGGTTGCGAATGTTACCCTTTTAGTATCAGGCAACGTTGTGCGCAGCACGAATTGTAGGTTAAGTATGTTGTCAGTTGGTCATAAGGTATAAGTGACCTATTTCACGAGGTCAGCAGCTGATCAGCAAGTGAAATTTTTGGTTTAGTCTGCAACATTGGCAATAGTGCATCGGGTATAAATTTAGCTAAACTTGTTCGTGGCGTTCTGTTATTTGTATGCAAATGAAGTTTTCTAAGTAAAAGAGCTGTTAGCAAGTACACAATGAATGCGTACGGTACAAAAAAAAAATAAAATACGGCTCTGTCTTCCCGGCTTTGACGAATTCGTCAGAATTATGTGGCCAAACGGTTGGACAGATTTTCACATATGAGGTGTCATTGGATTCGTCTTAGCGGTGCGAGTGACATAAGCTACATTGAAATTTTATAAAAAACAAAATGAAGGATTTTAACATCAGATTTCAACCTTGCAATTCCTATTTCATAGGCTACAGCTCAAACGTCTTGACAGATTTTCACATATGTGGTTTCGTTGGATTCGTCTTATCGGTGCGAATGACACAATCTACATTAAAATTTTATACAAAACAGAATGGCGGATTTAAATAAAAGATTTCAACCTTGTAATTCTTATCTCACATTCTATAGCTTAAACGGCTTTCTAGCTCCACAATGGAGCGTGTACTTTACTGTAAAAACAAGATTTTTGTATATTACCTATATTTTAGTATGTTTGTACATGTATGTACATTTATTCATCCTTATTTCACAGAACATCCTAAGTACTAACTACATACAAGTGTGAAAATATACGCAACTCGGAAAGTAGAAAAATGGAGTTATCATCTTCTTGCAGTAAGCCGGCGGTATAACAATGAATGAAAATGACTTAGTATAAGCCACAATTTTTCTCCATTTCATTTAAGATTTTTCTGGTCTTTCAAACTTTTATTCAGTTCTTTGATCCGGAAGAACATCCTTGATCTGAAAAATATGGGGTTGACCAAAACGGACGCAGGAAAGTAAACGCGTATTAAAACAAGAAAGATTGATATTCAAATCAAGTTGGGTACTTTATTTTGAAGGTTCATTTATACCATTTATGTATGAAAAATAATATCGCTCAAATGTTCACTACGACTGGATTTACAGACGTCCACGCGATGGTCGAAATTTTCAATGACATTTTGCAACATGGTCGGTTCTATGGCATTTATCTCGGCAATGATGTTGTTTTTGAGTTCTTGGAGGGTGGCTGGTTTGTTGACGTATACTTTGCTTTTCAAATATCCCCATAAAAAGAAGTCCAAGGGAGTCAAATCGCACGATCTTGGTGGCCATGGCACATTTCCTCTGCGCGAAATCACGCGATCACCGAAGAAGGACTGCAATCGATGGATATTGACGTTGGTTGTGTGGCATGTTGCACCGTCTCGTTGGAAATAAACATCGTCCATATCCATTCCTTCAAGTTGCGGCAAAAAATAGTCCTCTATCATCACGTGATATCGCTCAGAATTGACGGTAACGGCGTCCCCGGCCGCATTTTCGAAAAAGTAAGGTCCGATGATGCCTTTTGATCACAATGCACACCACACAGTCACTTTTTGAGGATGCATCGGCTGCTCTTGATACTCACGGGGATTTTCGTTCGCCCAGATGCGGTAGTTTTGCTTGTTTACCATCCCATTCAAAGTGAAATGCGCTTCGTCGCTGAACATGATTTTTGATGAAAAATTGGCATCAATTTGGCGGTGTTCCAGGTGCCAATCTGAGAACGTTCGGCGCGAAAAATGGTCGGCCCGACGCAGCTCTTGCGTCAATTGGATCTTGTAGGCGTGTACATTCAAATCCTTGTGGAGAATGAGGAGCAAACTGGTTCTCGAAATGCCCAATTCTTGGGATCGACGCGTTGTTGACTGTTTCGGATCGTCTCTCACACTCTCCTTCACAACAGCAATATTTTCCGGTGTGCGAACGCTCCTTGGCCGGCCAGAGCCTGGCAGATTTGCCACAGAACCTGTTGCCTCGAATTTACGCACCAGACGATCAATGGTTGTTTCGTTAGGGCGGTTGTTGCGACCGAAATGTTCACGAAGCGGGCGAAACGTGTTTTTATTTTTGCACCATTTTTGTAGTGCTCTTGAATAACTTTAATGCGGTCGCCAATCGAATACGATTCCATAGCTATCAATGGTAAACATTCAACTAACAAAATGACATGTCGGTGACAGAAAACAAAGATGGCGTCTATGTCAAATTGACGTTTACTTTCCTGCGTCCCTATTGGACAACCCTTAGTTTCTTAGCTTTTTCAGGGCAGTCAATGTTGCTGCTCTTTAACAGAAGTTCGCCTATAAAAATTTGCTTTTCTGTCACTATTCCGTACCCACTGCATGTAGTAAACACCTCATTAAGCTTCTCAATTTGATTCATGAAAGTTGTGGAAGGTTTTGATAATCCACTCTCACTAACATGGTCTATCCAGGAATAAGTTTCATTTGACAAACTTTTTAACCTCTCATCCTGCAATTTATGGCAAACAAAGCCGGCCAAATTTTTCAGTCCATCATACTCGAGCTCATCTATTTCTTCCACTAAAACTTCCTCGTTATAGTCAGCTGATACTTCAGGTGCATTCAGTTTATTAGTTAATGATGCGATAGTGGAATGTCCGGAGTATCCTCTTCCTCTACGCTGCAATACTCTGAGTATAACCTTATTCTATTCTTAAACTCTAGGGGATAAGCTGAGGCCTTTGCCTTTTTTCGTAAGCACTTTTCCGCTTTTCCCCATAAACAGATGTAGATGGTCCAGGTGATGATAGAGACTTGGCTAAATTTTCCATATTAAAGGCATCGTCTTTTAAAGCACATTATCTTTTAGAGGTGTAACCCAAAAGGGTATGTTTCAAATTGACCTTATAGGCACTTCCACTAAAGTGCTTCGAGCAAACCCTAGCGCTTTTTACATTGACTTTGATTTTTCTTCTTGTATGATGTAGCCGTTTGAGTCTTGAGGAAAACTGTGGATTTTCATGTCTTTGCAAGGATTCCGCTTAGATTGGTTGTCGGAATTACATCCACAACAGCACACCGCATTTTTATGAATCTACTAACATCACAGGGTATATAAAGTATGTATGACTAATAGAACAAGTCACAAACCCACCAAAAATCGTACTATATGGTATTAACCACGATACACGTGCACTGTAGTAACGTGACGACAATCCTGCCACTGGTAACCACGAGCCGTCAACTCTCTGGGTGACGTCACGAAGCTCCGCCCACATCCGCAACATCCTATCTCCAGTGGGGTATAGTAGCATAGCTTAGTGGTAGGTAATGTACTTTGTCAGTTAGTTGTCAAAGGGTTGAGAGTTTTTTGTCCGATCTGTTTCGTGTAGTTCTTGAAGAAGCGATAAGTCGAGGAGAATTCCATTCTAAGCGCTGCAGGCTATTTGTCATAATAGCTTTATGAAGTTATTTTTGCGCCAACAGTGGTGTTCCTGCAAACTTGTCTTGTGGTATTTTTGCAAAAGAGCTGCCACGGCACTGGTATTTTCCAAACTGAATGTTTTTTTCAGTTAAATTGACTATACATAAAAACTCTATTTTACTATTTTTCCCACAGCAATGATCTGATTAAAAAATAAGGAGACTCTCGGAGCACTGCATATTCTACTGTTTACTCATCCATAACCATATGTCTGCATCCAATTAGACGTCTGCCTCATTTTAAGAAAAGTATGAATGGTTCATAGGTTTTACGGAAAAGTGCAAAGTGTGACTAGTGCTATAAAATCTGATGTTGTTTATATAGGGTGTCCCAATAGAAATATAAAGTTGTTTTATAGATAAACTATAAAATAAAGGATATTAGAAACCTCATAGGTATATATTTCTAAATCATTTGGAAGTAAACTTAGTTATTTGTGTATTGCACACTTCCGTGACACAATGAACATGTCCTTTCTTTTTAATGGAATATATCCTATATACTATGCGGTTTTGACTGTTATTTTATCGTTTGTCTGAAAAATGTCCATCTTTGAAGGTTCCGACCTGCGCCATTCTGCGTGATTTTTCATTTAGTTTTGGAGAAAGCATGACAGAGTATCTCAACATTGAGCTTGACTATAGAAAGCTCCGATAGTGTGATATGATTATATAGGGTGGTGAAAAACGCAAAATGCTGTTCTCAAACATTCCCTTTATAATTTCACACCATCAGATTTGGCCTTTGATAAGCTTTATTTTGATAAAGGTTTGAACTAGTTCACTGGAAAGGATATCTGTATGTATTTCTCAAAATTCTAGAAGATCGTAAAGTTATTTATTTACTCACTGCGTATCATCTATGGAAACAATAACTTATATTCACAGTTCTGTGCTTGGACCAGGGATATTACATTTCATAAACGTCTGATTTGTCCATGAAAAAGTTTCTTTCAACATAACTATTTAGTTTTTCTTCGTTTGTCTGTAGGCGCTTCCGCTCAGGCAACAATGTTCTATATTAATCGTAATCTTATGCAGATCATGATTCTAATTTCTATTTTGGGAGTTTTATAAGGCAACACTGTGTGATGGTTTTTCAGTTAATTACATACTCTAATATTTCATCTAAGTGATTATGTGACCGAAGGTTTAATCGCAATTCATATATTAAGCTAATAAAATCATTAGTTAACATTTTTTACTTCATCTACTGCTAATTTAATTTCCATGTATAATTAATTATTTTATTTATCTAATTAAATTAGACATAACTACGGTGCCCCACAGGAAGCAACTACGTTTAAGTTAAAAGAAAGCAATAAAAAAACTAGGTGGATATTTATGGAATGCAGTAGCTCTGGTCTACGCACAGAACTGTAGGAATAAGCTATTGTTTCCGTAGATGATACGATGTACGAGTATGTAGTGGCTAGATAAATAATTATACCATTTTCTAGAGTTTTTAAAAGTAACCATCAAACCGTTAAAATAAACAAGTATGGACAGTATATCAATAAAAAAGATTCTTAAAGGGCGCATCTGAGGATAAGATCATACTATCGGCACTTTCCTTAGTTGAGCTTAAAGTTTGCGTAGTTTTTCAGCCTCTTTCCAAAATTCAATAAAATTATCAGAAATGGCAACGTTCAAAGCCTTTAAAGATAGGTATTTTTTTCAGACAAATGACAAAATAACTAATCGAATGAAGATCAAAAGCCTATAGTTTATTGTATGAACCTTGTTGTGGAAAGGTATATCTAAATAACTTATGCGTGTCCATTAAAAGAAATATCTTTGTGTCACAGAACTGTGCAACACTATGTATATTTCCAAATAGTGTAAGAATGCACAGCTATGAGATGTCAAGCTTGCTGCTGAAACCATTTTCGAAGGTTGTTATAGTTTTTATATATTATTTATAGTCCTCAGTTTTTGAATAAAAACGCAGCTACAAAACATTTACATAAAGCACGTATCTGGTTCAAACTGGAATTCATTTCCACAGCGCAAATACCTACATATTCATGAAGCGTCTAGGTTTATGTACATATAACGTACTTCATTTCTCCAATACATTTAAAATGAAATAATATAAAATAATCTAATTTATTTAGAGCAAGTATACATGAAATTTCGAAAGAATTTAATACTGAAATTTAAAATAACGTTTACAGCAACAGAGATTGCCTATAACACAGTACTGTCGCCTTAGAAAGCTACGTAAACTTGCGGCCTGTAGATTACACTTTCCAATCAGTAGTTCGCAAAACATTAACCGTTTCCTTAACTACGTAACACGTTGCTCCATCCTGCTGAAGCTACATTTTGTAGGTTTGTAGGCTAAGTTGTCCAATTTCTGAAGTCATCAAGCGTCGCAGCCTGCTTGTATTGGGTATAATTTGTCGGGATGCCTAGCAAATGAATCTCAAATAGAAGGCGAAACTCGAAGCGAATATTTCTCATACAAAAAACGCTTGCATTGCATAACTTATTAACTGAGAACAGATTGTGATTATTGTCTCATTTCAAATAAGCGTTTTCATGTTTTGTTGTGTCTACAACACGTAAATCCATATCACTCATTTTCGCAGGCCTGTCTGTCGCTCCGTCTGTATGTTGGAGTTATTTTAGAGCCCTTTCAGACGAGATACAGTATCCGAGATACAGAATTACGACCGGATACTTTTTTACTTCTGTATCGCATACCGCCTTGTTATACGCAAAACAGTTGTAGTTGTAATTATGGAAATAGAAGAGTGTATCGCGGTGTGGTATTTATTAAATAATAAGAAGAAGAAACTAAAAAGGAGACGTAGTTTGTGGGTTCATCCCATGTTGGGATTAAGAGAAAGCAAAGGAACGTATAATTTATTACATGAAGATTTGTTGCAAGATCCATCGAAGTTTTTCAATTATTATCTAATGTCTATTCAGTCCTTTGAGAAACTTCATAATATTTTGGAAAACAAACTAATTAAAAAGGACACAACTATGCGTAGAAGTATTTCGTCAAAAGAACGACTATCTATGACATTAAGGTAAGGAAAAAATACTTATAGATGTTTTTTTTCTAAATCTATTTGTATTTAAAGTAGTACAAGAAAAATAATAATTAATTATCAGCTCCACAATTTTGGTCTTAGCCTTGGTAATCAACAAGAAGATCGATGATGGATCCGTCTGTTGAGGTGGCAGTTGATTCAACGGAATGGGGTGAGAGGATGGGAACAGTGTCTGTTCTTTCATTGGATGAACATTTTAACTCAATGAATGAAGTGTTGGATGACGAATGGGGAGATAAATGAGAATGAGTGGAAGAAGGATGACCATAAACGTGCACTTGTGAAGATGATGACTTATGAATAGGAAGATGTTGTGTAGAAGGGGGATTAGGAGCGGATGGATAAAACGGCAAATGTTGTACATGGTTGTAATTAAATGCAGATTGAGTGGGTAATAGGGCAGATTTTATCGATTGTATTATTGCCAATTTCACATCCATCTTTTTGTCAATTGGCACTCTTCTAAAGTCCGGCAGTAGCGAAAGAAGGAAATGTCGGTCTCCGTCATTGTCTAGCATAATATCGTTTGTTTGTCGCTGTGCAAGATTTGCCTTTAATAGGCCCACAATCTCAGTGTTATGGTCGGTTTCCGATGCCACTTTCCTTTTTTTCTGTACATGTATAGGCCTTAAAGGAGTAACATACTCATTTTGTTCATGATCCGAAGCTTCTTCGATTGTATGATTTTCCTCTGTAAAATTTGAAGTGGTCCTAAAACAAATCTATTAATTTAGTAGTTCATATTTTGACAAGCTAAATTTTCTTACTCTCTATTTGAAGAGCATCGCATCAAAAAAGATAGCTGATCAAAAAATATATAAGTTTTCCAAGAAGCTCCGTCACCACTTTTTTCCTTTTTTCTTTTCGCCAACTCTCGAGCAAAAGAATTTATTAAATTCTTCCATTTTTTTTGAAGATCTTTCCCTGAAAAATTCAACAAGTTTTTTTTAATTATTTTCAGGTACCTGGCGACTGGTTGCTCCCTTACTGAGCTACATTATAACTACAGAGTTGGAATTTCAACAGCGAGCGAAATAATTCAGGAAACATGCAAGCTAATTTGGATATTTATGAAAGAACAATGTATACCAAAGCCCACACGAGAAAAATGGTTAGAAATCGCAGACGGTTTTTTGAAAAATGCAAATTATCCACACTGTTTGGGTGCCATAGACGGAAAACATATCCGGGTTATAAAACCACAACATAGTGGTTCTCTTTATTTTAACTATAAACATTTGTAGATATTGGAGATTATGGGAAAAACAGTGATTCAAGCATTTTTACGAATTCACATTTTTATAAGAACTTAAGCTCAAAAAAGCTAGATCTTCCCAATCCAGATTTTTTGCCACAAAAGAATGATTACAAAATCCCATATGTTATTGTTGGAGACGAAGCATTTGGTTTATCCTTCAATGTTATGAGGCCATATGGTGGAAAAAATCTGACATTAAAAAAGAGAATACATAATTACCGGTTAACTCGAGCACCAAGATATATTGAGTGTACTTTTCTAATACTTTCTAACAAGTGGAGAATATTTCACAGACCACTCAACGTGTCAATAGATTTTGCTGTTGACATAGTTAAAGCTTGTACTGTGTACTCCATAATTTTGTTCGTGTACTAGATGGATATAAACATGAAGATGCCTTATCCGTCCAAGGATTTTATGATGCTAATGTTGCAAAAACAGAAGCGTGTTCTGCAAGATCAGCGACTGCTATTCGTGACTATTTTGCTGACTATTTCATGAATACTGATATATTACCATGGCAGAATAGTTGTATCATGTGAACTAGTGCTGTTGAAATTTTGAAATTTATTTTTATTCCTAATATTTCTGAAATATTCGTTTCTTATGTCTAAATTATATTGTGTTTTAGTTTTAACTAAAATATAGTAAAATCTATCTATAGGAACTAAGTATTTTTGGGACAATAAATTTTAATGAAAATAATCCCATATGTAAACTTTTTAGCCTGCACTACTTACTTATAATAGTCTAATATGTATTTAAAATAAAATTATGTTTAATGTCTTACCATATTCATTCTGTTGTGCTGCTGTCATCTCCTCAAAATTGTCGCACATTTGTTTGGCAATTTCCACCCAGCGTTGCTGTTTCTTATTTCTATCGCAATAATCTGGGTGCGCTGTATCCCATAAACAGGGATTTGGTTCCACCAAACTTATAAACTTTTCATTATCAAAGACTGCACGTTCCATTTCTATATACATATACGTATTACATTAACGTCCAATTAAATTCTTAACCTCATTTACTACTAACACAAGAAAAACCCAACGACTATGTTCTACCGTATTCACTGATGAAAAAGTATGCGTGTCTGAACAGCTCCGTATAATATAATGATAATTCTGTATGCGGCATACGCATTCTGTCGCCGGCGGCCGAAAGATGAGCGATACCGAAATTTGCGTTCGGGATACTGAATGCGTCGCTAGTGCTGTTTGAAAGGTTCGATTTGGGTGTATGGAATATCTGTATCTCGGATACGCGTATCTCGCATACGGTATCCTCGTCTGAAAGGGCTCTTACTCTCGTAATATCGGAAACGCCTGCACCAAATTTAATAAAATTTGGGAAGCAGCATCCTAATGCGATATAGCAGGTAATGAGGTAATACTACTTTCTTTATTTCGACAGCGTTGACGGCTGGGGTCATTAGCTGCATCGGATCTTGTTGTTCATCTATTGTCATTTACTACACACGAAGTGCCATCTATTACCAGAATCGACCACTGCGAAAGTGGAAACAGCAATCTGTCTGTTGAAATTGTATTTCAGTTCGCATTAATAATAATAATAATAATAATAAATTTTATCCGTGTCAGCCTCACGGATATGAAATGTCAAAATACAGGTTACAGTAGTTATTACAAGATAAGATCAAGCACATTGAAACAAAATTACGACATAATCGATATGAAGTCATTAACAGAATAATAACATTTTTCTACCAAAAATGCTTGTATACGTTTTTTAAAAGACTTAGTAGCACCTAAGGTTTTGATATGATTAGAAAGATGGTATATAGCGGCACACATGCGCTTAGATTGCTATTAGAAATACATATGTCCTTATTGTTGCGAAGGTTGTATTTTTGCTGATCTTCAATGTATGTGAACTTATTATAATTATTTTGAACGAATAAGCATGCCTCAAGTATAAAAACATTGGGAAATGTCAACAGATACTTCAAATGAGTATATATGGTTGCAAAATAAACATTTAGTAAATCCTTGATACACATTATCTTTTTTGAGTTACGCAACGCAAAATAAGCTGATCTGAGTTTTTATTAGATAATCTAGATGATCTCTCCAGCTGAGTCTCTCATCTAGTATTATCTCTAAGAGCTTTGTTTGTTCAACGCTGTCAAGAACTGAATTATTTACCTTTAACGTGATAGTAGTTGGTAGTTTACGTTCATAATAGAACATATATATTGCTTTGCTTTCATTAACTATTAGCTTATTATTCGTTATCCAAGACTAAAACTGATCTAATACTGAGTTGGCCTTCAACTCAAGTTCTTCCGGTGCGTCAGCCGCTATACTGATGAACGTGTCATCTGCAAACAACACAAGGAGAGTGTCATCATCGTTAATATATTCATCCAAGACATTGATAAATAAAAGCGGTAATAATAATCCACCTTGAGGGACACCAATTTGCTCATTTTTCAACCGGGTCACTACTGTGGCCGCTAGATGTGAGCTGAAGTCGGTTTCACAGAATAAAACAAATAATATAAAATAAAGAGCACATATAAATAAAATTAAAAGAAAATAAAATCTCAATTGCAGAATGTGTTATTTACACCGGAATGAACAAGTTACGTAAAAACGTTTATACTCTTATACACAAAAATTAAAATTTTGAGAAAGGAGTGATTAACGGAACACCTCTTAAAATAATTGTTAAGCAGATATTGTATCCATAAAATACTCATTCGTAGAGTAGTAAGCCTACAGTTTTAGCAGTCTTAAATGATTCCAATGGCAAGATCTTCAAAGTGTCCGGCAATCTATTGCACAATTTTATAGCCATTAACTTTGGGTTGTTTTTAATGGTTGACAATATGTGAGAGGGAATTTTAAAAACAAGCGAGTTTCTGGTTGAATACCTGTTATGTCCATTTAACTTTGGAAATAAAGAGGCATCATATTATTGATGCATCATCTGCGAACATGATGTGATTTTAACTACCTACTAAAGTCATTTACATATAGTGCTGCCTGTCAGTCATATAGTCAAAACACCAAACAAATCCAAATCAAGACGGCCACGCTAAGAACACGAATATCAAAATGCAGAAAATGCACGGTGCAAATTCCCTATTTATATTTACTCATTTCGGTCTGACTAACGACTGAGCGCTTGCGCGCTAGACATCTCATGTCAAATTTGTTTATGCTGTAGCCCGTGAAATAGATATTTTAAGTTATTTCTATTCAAACTCGTACTGTTAAAATCTTTTATAGTGACAGGGTTCGCACAAATTTATTTTTGAAAGCACCCATTTCTGTAATATGTGAAAGTTTCAATGCCATATCTAATTATTGTGGTGACAGTTTGAACAGCATTCTGGGAGTAGGTCGGAATTACTTAAACAGTTCATATGTTTCTCACTTAAGTGAAATATGTTTTTTACTTCTTTTTCTAGTTTGTTTTTCTGCTGCTTTGTGTATGTATTCTATTTTTGTTAGTTTGATTTATCCTTTCTTATGATTGTCCTGCGAATGGTTTCCTTAACTGTTGGGCAATAAACGCTATTGACTTATTTATTATTATTTCCAGAGCCAAAAAGTAGCCTAGCCTATGTGCTATACCAGATTCTAATACAGGTATATCTCTGTACCAAATTTCATCCAGATCCGTCATTCTGGTGTGATTGAATAACAAACATTCACACTTTCTCAAGCCCATTATGCACTTCACCGCTTCAGAAAGGATTTATTTGATAGGAATTTGTATTTTCTGCTAATGGCAGATCTTCACTTAAAATATAATTGTTCGATATTAATGTTTCAAAAAATTATTGTATAAAAAAAAAAAGATATGAAACAGTCGTATTTACCATTGGATCTCATATCACCTTTTCCGAATGCTGCTAGAGGCCATCCTAAGCTAGTGTGTGGCAACAATTGACTAGATCATAATATATATAACCTATATCTAAATGTAATTATGGCACACTAACAAGTGGGACCCGGTATTGGCAATAGAAATTCCGCAAAACGGGATCTCGTATTCCCGCGACATCTCGGTCTTACTTATTGGCCTGCGGTATCCCACAAATTTAGAAATTGGAGCGAAATCTTCAGAGATCGCAAAAATTCTACAAATGAATTTTACCCCACAATTATTGGTTCTTTATTATTTAGATATAATTTATATATATATATATATATATATATATATATATATGTATATATATATACATATATAATAAATAAAAAAATCTCTCATACGTATAAACATACAAGGTGGCGCATCGAAAACGAAACAGACGCATTTACTGGCAGCGCGGTTTTTTTTTGTGAAAAACGCCCAGACCCGTCGATTTTGTTTTCGAGGGGGACACAAGCTTGGCAAAAAATCACGTTAGCACGTGAAGCCCCCTAGGCGGGGGTGACACCACCCCCAAAATCTTAAATGGAAAGGGGGGTCGAGTGATACCTTATTTTATAGGTCTTTCAATTCCCTTTATAATGATATAAAATTAATGTACTTCGGTGCAGTAGTTTCGAAGATTTATTGATTTAAAACTTAAATAAAACTAATACATCATCATTAGTGGAGACCAATACATTTGGCAGCAAAGTAATTTAAAAATGAAGAATGAACTGACCCGTTAGGCAAGTAAATGTTGAAAATGACCACCATGACTCTCCATGCAATAATAAAGATTTTGCTCAAAACGTTGCCGCACATTTTGCAATATTTGAGGAGTAATTTGAAGGCACACATCCACAATTCTTTGTCGCAGGTCTTCTAATGATGTTGGCTCAGTAGCATAGATTTTGCTTTTTAAATGACCCCACATAAAGAAATCCAAAGGTGATGAATCTGACGATCTTGGGGGCCATTCAATGGTACCTCTTCTACCAATCCATCAATCTGGAAACGTCTGATCTAAATATTGTCGAACACGTAATGCGTAATGTGGTGGGGCACCATCCTGTTGGAACATCAACCTATTCGCAATGTACCGCCGATCATTCTGATTTTCAATTATGGCTGTTAATGCAGGATCTATGGCGTCTTTCAGTAATTCCAAATACATTTCACCGGTCAAATTTCTAGGTAAGAAAA